CGAAGCACGGCCGTTGGAAGAAGCAGAAGCATAGGTAACATGCCGAAATCAGGCGAAATGGGGCTCGGTCAAAGTTCTGCTGATGGTCAATTTGTGACAATTTCTGACTGAGGAAGAAAGAACATCAGAGAGCGGTGTGTGAGGTAGTCGGTAGAGTTAGCTAGGTTGGCTGGGTTCAGTGGTGGTGGTGGTGGTGGTGGTGTGCGGCGCTACCATAGCTTCCGCCCCCCTCTCGAACGGCGTCCCGTTCCATTGGAGAATTGGACGACGGGTGTGCAGCAGTGACTGGAGTCTATCCAGATGCGATGGTTGCGCCGATGCTGCATTCGGGGAAGTCGAATTTGGAGGAAGAGGCAACGACACCCTCACAGGTGCAGGGCAGACCCGCCGTCTGGTAAGCATTGCTGGACGTCAGCCCAGGAGGGGAAGCTATGAGGTGATGATGATGGTGTCGGCGAATGGCAAGCAAGGGTCCCGTTTCCTCCAAGGTTCCAAGAAAGGTGTGCCGAAGAATTGATACACGGGTGTCCCTTGGGCCTGCTGTCAGCTGTGAAAGTGTAGAAAACGAGGCATTGCGAAGGTAGGAGGGAGGTGGTGGTGGCTGATGGACGAAGTAGTTTGCCAATCCATTGGAATGAGCGGCCACGAGGAGAACACGATGTTCCGCTAGCAAGACGGTCCGGTGCAATGCCCAGAGACTGACGGTGTCGCCTCCAACGCTTCTCAATGACAACAATAGCGACGCTGGAGACGACGACGGGCTCGGCGGTTGCAGGGACGAATGTCAGTGCACCTCGGAGAGAGTCGATGGAGAAGTTTTGGAGCGGGAAAAAGTGGCCCTGAAGCATAGGGATCGGGATGGAGGGGGGCCACTGGCGAGGTTGCGGAAAGTCGTCATACTTGTGCAAGGATGACCCAATCACGGATGGCACTCCGCGGCGACTTGCCCCCTGTCAGCCATCGGACTGCAGCTGCAATGCGCTCCACACCTGCTGCGCAACGCCTGGCGTGTGCTCCAGCTTCACCTCATTTCCTCACTGTTCAAGGTCGAGCCGTTTGGTCTCATCCTACAGTACTCGCAACCGAAAATCACCAGGAAGTGAGTGTACTTGGAAGGGCCCAATGCAGCCTCTTGCTTTTCTTAGCTTGTGTCGCAGGTCTGTCTGTGGCTTGCGCTCCATCTTTCGTCGTCTTGGCACCCCCATGCGACGGCCTTCGAATCCTGGAGCTGTTCCACCTCTTCAGTGCTAGGCAAGGTGCGAGTGGCTGTTGTATCACCCCATCAAGGTACGGGTACAGTGACTGTGATGGGTGTCTACGTGAACGGGACGAGACCAGCTACTGCGCAGCAGGCCGGGTGGCTGGCCTGGGGAACCGTTCAGTGCTGGAAGGCATACACGCATCGTCAGCTCTGACGACAGCTCGCCATCTTGACTTTCGCGACTACTGACCTTAAAATGTGGCTGCTAAACGGACAGGGAAGAGCAAAAAACAGGGTTAGCTGGGGCTAGACCGGCCAGTCGACCGCCAATGCATTGGCTCCGGCCAGCGGACTCCTTGTATCATGTTGTTGAACCGCCAAACGCAGGGCCGATCCCGATTCAAAGCGCTTGCCCGTCGCTCATGTGTACTGCACGTAGGCACGTATACCAGCTGCAACACTGATGAATGCCTCGATTCAAGGCCTCAAAAGATCCATCCACCGACCGAGCAGAGCAGGTCACCCGTACACCTGCCTTACGTGCTGCAGACCGTATCCAATCGGTAGCAGGATGGTCCTTGGCCTCAGGTGTCAGCAAGCAGCCAACCCATAGCCTACCCAGCCAAGCGAGGCGTCCAAACAAGCACACACAAGCCCCATCCCATCTCATTTGCTCGCTGTCCCTGCCCGTCCTTTTCCAAGCTTTTCTCGTGCACCTCAGGATTGGGTTATGCTCCTGACACGGTCAACCTTGGATCATGAGCAGCATGTGGCCAGCGCGGTAGTCTTGTTGGGGGCCACCTCACGCAGTAGTTGCCAGTTCCCGCAATGGGAAAGCGTAGTGTCGTCGTGGGGGGCGTGGCTCTCGCGGACGTGGAGTTGTAAGGCAGACGGCCCACGCACGTCGACATGAATGTGGAAGAGAAAGAGAAGCCGATGTACATGCAGCCCAAGCCCTCAGCACCTACCTTCCTTTCCGGCCTGCACCAGGGAAGGTACGTCTCTTGCATCTGCGTTACACGCTAATGTGCCTGTGGCGAGTTGCTTCCCCGCAGATTTCGCATCCCAGCTACCATCCATGTTTCTTTACCTGCTCGTTTAAATGCTACCCGCCTGCCGCCCATCCAACCTACGCCATCTCTCCTGCTTCCAACACGACCTCGCTGCACAACCATCAATAGCTTCATTGAAAGCTGACTGTGGATTGAGGACCGCTGGGAACGAATTCGACTTATTTCACCACCTCGCGATTTACAAACTCGCGTCACGATGCCTACCGCCTCGGAGCGTATCAACGCATGTATGTCGTCGTCGTCTTGTCCTTCGCATGCTACAGCTTGCTAATCTGCCCCCAGTGAACCCCTTCTCTAAGAAGGAGTCTCATAGCGCTGGTTCCATCACGACATACAAAGTCCTGACCATCTTGTCTTGGCTTCTCGCCCTGGTCGTTACCCTGTACTACGTCACCAACGAGCCTCACGATGGCTTCACGATCCGCAGGAGAATATGGGATCAGAACTACCTGTACCGCACCGCCTTCACCTTGAACGCGACCATTGTTGATATCTACTGGTAAGCATGGAAGAATCGCAAGAGGGTGCGTGGTATTGACTATCCTAGGATTGTTCTCTTCATCCTCCAGATCGGCTACGTCGCCCACCTCTTCTCCAGCAACACCGACTACGTGAACGCTGCTGCGAGCGTCGGTTCTCACTTCATCTTCCACAACCTGCTTCACTTCGCCTTCGTCATGCTGTTTGTGCGCTCACACTTCGTCTGGGCTGAGCTCATCCTGATCATCAACTTCGCCAACCTGTCGTCGCTGTACTTCCGCCACAACACATATCCTCGTTTCATCCACTGGCCCGTCGTGTCTGCTCCCTTGGCATGGACCTTTGTTGCCATCTACTGGAACGGTGCGATCATGGTCCACGACCCCGACAACCTCGTTGCCCGCATCTTCGGCAACATCTTCATTTGGTCCATCCTTGTCTACGGTGGCTTCTTCATCACTATCTACAAGGTAAGTCTGGCAGGAGAAGGCAATTCGGTCCACTCAGCTAACATGCCGCAGGATTACACCATGGGCTTCTCTCTCAGCGTTTTGTCCGCCGCCATCGGTGTAGCTCAGTTCTACGACAAGGTTATTGCCTTCCAGTGGATCTTTGCCTTCACCATCATGGCCGTCCTCTTCGTCGCGACCCTCGTCATTGCCTACCCTGCTTGGTCTGGCAAGGAGTACTCCTGGCCCCGCCGCTCCGCTCCGGCCGACCAGGAGCGTGCCCCTCTTTTGGCCGACGACCAGTAGATTCAGAATTCTGCAACAACCAACCAGACAAGCAACCTCTGACCTGGGTGTTGTTCACAGAAACACCGATAGAGTCAAGAACAGGTACAAACGAGGTGTTAAGAGGAAAAGAAGGACCCATGGAAGGGCGTGGGCATCGAAAATTTGCTTTCAAAATTGCTATGACAACTGGATCATTGGTGGGATGGCATGTAAATAGCATTCTTTTGGTCACGCATGCGTAGGAGAGACGGCAATATCCCATTTGGTTGACCAGGCAAGAGGGTGCGAAACGCAGATGATGACGTAGCTGTCGTTCTTATCGCTATCGCCATCGCCCGATAGCTTGTTATCGTAATTCACTAGTCTAGATAAGGAATAGCTGATTGTCCCGTGCTCACCTTGCGAACCTGTCAATCATCTTTTGTGTACTGCTTTCTGTTCACGACCTGAGTTGCTGCCTCACTCGGGTGTCGTGCAGTGCAGGGTCACCATGAGCCCGAGGGCATTTCCCTTTCCCTTCAATGTTGGGAATGATATTTGCCAGATCTCCCGCATTGCCCGAATTTTGGCAACTCCCCGCGGGCCAAGATTTATTGAGCGTATATTCACCAAAGATGAACTGCACCTGATTCCAAGCGGATTAGAGAACAACACCCCGCCAAATCCCCAAAACCCCCAAGAAAACGGCATCGAAGACTTGAAGGCGCAAAAGCATTTGTGGAAGAAGGCCTCGTTCGTGGCTGGAAGGTACGCGCATCGCACTCCGTACCATCCACCTCTACCTGTCCAGCAGGGCTCGTTGAGCTAACAACAGGTCTCTGCCCGTCTCATGCAGATTCGCCGCGAAAGAGGCCACGATCAAGGCACACTTTCAAAGACGCCTGACCTTCCACGACATTACCATCTTGAGGAAGACACTGGTCGAGGGGCAGGCGAACGCGAACGGGAGCGGGCCGCCTGTGGCTGTAATTAAGGGTGCGAAGGAGGGCGAGCGGGCGCAGGAGGCCAAGATTACGATTAGCCATGATGGGGACTATGCCACTGCTGTCTGTATAGCTTATGAGCCACCTGTCGAAAAGGGAAGAAATGAATGAGGATGCGCTGAATAGAGTAGTCGAATTCGCGAAGGCATGGTAGAGTTAGTACCTTGTCTGCCTGGCGAGATGCCTCGCAGAAACGGACAGTGAGAGCTTTTTTCGGTCATGCGTTTGCCATCTGTTTAACAGGCGCATCGGGGGAGACGGAAACGAATGGCCTTCCCGCCAAAAATGATTTGACCCACGGGCCATCATGGCATCAATTCCAACTTCAAGTATTGCCAGATCTTGTTCATATTGCCTCTGGCGCAGACAGCTTTGCCTCGAAACTTCTCACGCAAGCTCCACAAGCTCAAGCTGTGACGGCGCGAACGCATGACCCCACGCACGACCCCACGCAGCTACCCACTGCAGGACTACATAAGTAGACTCTGCTCGCCTGACGTCAACAACGAGTCAATTCGCTTCACTTGGCCGGCTGGCGCAATGGTAGCGCGTCAGCCTCCTACCTAGAGCCCCTTCGCAGGGTCTCAGGGTTGATAGCTGAAGGTTGTGGGTTCGAGTCCCACGTTGGTCGGTCTCTATCTTTTGCCACATTCTGTATGTTGAGCAGATGCATGGCTTTGAACCAATTTTTTTGTTAAAAAGAAAAAGAGGCTTAGAAGAGTTTCACAAGGGACAACACAACCCTATTCTCGGCTGTCCTGTTTCTCTTTGGAAATATGTGGTCAGATACTTAGCTACACATGAATAAGTACATCGTTTCCCGGTCGAAGACAGAATGGCCGCTGTTTGGTCCACGAACACCTCGCACTCTGAGTGAGCGGACCCCATGAATCGCACTGCTCTGACAATATTGACCACCTGTTCCAATCGTCGAACCGAGGGAACTCACGGACTAATCAGGCAGGCGCCCTCTGCATTCCGACGCCTGTGGAGACTGCATAAAGCACTTGACTATGATCTTCATGACTTTGACTATGGCCGCAAAAATCGTAGTGGTAATTCCACTTTGTGATCGCCTCTTTGCTCTTCCATGAATCCACGGATGTGGCTTACCACCATTTTTATCGAGACTATGTGAAGTCCTCGCCCAAGTCTTACTGATAAGTGCTATGTACCTTCACTTCTGCCGTCGCCTCATTCGACGGGGATATACATGGTGTAAAGAGAGGGTCAAAATTCGTGTACATTTCCACTATGCCATCTCAACTCAAGGCCATGCTATTACGCAGGCACAATCTCGGGACCAAGACTCTGACGGTTGGTAGCAAAACATTTGTCGCTGCTGTTTTTTCTCACAGTCCCATACTCGGATTTATCTATAACGTCTAGTCGTTATTGATCGCATCTACTTCAAGACTTCCCTACTCTCAATCTAGGTCTTCGGGGTTCATTACCTATCGTACCATAAGTCCTCTATCCCGGGTGGCTAGGCAAGTACCATCTGGCGCAACCAACTGTATAGAACAAAATTACCATCAGCTGCTTGGTGTATTCGTTTTGGGCAATCCAAGGCACGTTCGCAATGTTCGTGTCCTAACTAGAAGCAGATCTCCATCTCCTCAACCATCAGCAAAAAGCTTGGATCCCGTACTCTGTACTTGACCCCGATAAGTCGAGATATCTATGTAGTTCGCTTTCCGTCACTTTCGTCGCTTGCCATCTATTCCGAGACTCGTCAAGGAATAACGTAGTCATTCTCAAACCCCCTAGCTTGCCCACAGCTATGCAGGTCTGTTGCGAAACATTGGCCTCCCTCTCAGTGTCTTTATCTCCAAAATGCTGCACCAGAACTTACCTTAGAGAATGCATTGGCGGGGTCTCCGATGAGAGACTTCAGGATCCACGTCCGTTTTTAAGTACTCATACAATTGTGGCGGCCGAGGATCGAGCTCGCAGTGGTCGAGACTTATTGGCGGACTCGTTAGGAAACTTCCTAGCAATCATCGGGGACTTCGTGTTCGCTCCTCTGATTCCAAGGGTACCTAGTCTACAAGCTCTTTGTGTTCGTGTAGACGAGGAAGCATCGATCTAAGCAGGCGCGACGGCAGCCATCCTCGTCTTCCTTCATGCTCGCCGTTATATACGAGTACGAAGTGAGCGGGCAAGAATCTTTCGAGCGTTTCCTGCCGGAAAATTGTAGATGTGACGAGAAAATGGGCTTTCGAATGACCAAGAGAACATACGGTGCACCCTAGAAACATTTGTCGACGAAGAAAGATGCGGATTGTGATGGCTTGCATATATACAGCTCTCTGTCGCATCATTCCGAGTAAGATTCGGAGTAAGATTCCGTAAGGATGAGTTTTTCCTGCAGCATTCAATGAAGCAAGTCCAGCCCTACCAGCTCCGCCCTTGGATTTGCTGTAGGCGAGGGCCATCGCATAAAGCCTCGCGTCCAAGCTGCCTGTCTCATGAACGACCAAACCATATGAGAGTCATGTTTGCCTTGGATTAAAGGAAGGAAGGTTCCCGCCCGATTCCCCCTCTTAGAAGCTAAAGTCGCAATCCCGAAGTTCTCTTCTTATGGGGTTCCCTTCTTATGATCTCTGAGCGAAGTCACTGTGTTTTGTAGGGGTATTTCTAGCTATAAGCGCGAAAGACTGACGAGCGACAGAGCCGATGATACGAGCACGACCTCGTCCGTTGGCCTGCGCCCTTAGTTCTGGGGTATCGAGTACAATTCAATCTTCTGCAGATGACGACACAGACCTGGGCATAAAATTGGCTTGTCCGAGCGTATCGAGTTGTCCGAATGGTACACTAACTAGACATCCGCTATCTGTCATGGCACATCACACTTGGCATTCCTCATCTTGGACATTGACACAGAAACCAAGGCCTTTCGAACATCTCGAGGGGGTCGACATCGTGAGAGAAAATGCGAGAACAAAAAGGTCATACCTGCGTAGCTCTAAATGCCACAGGTACACCGCTTCAGAAGCGGCCAGTTGCTGCCGTAACCAGGACGCCGAGATCCATGTGTGTTCGTGATAGAGGCACAATTTGAAGAAGGTCTTGGCTCTTCAGGCTGTTGGGGCGCTTATTTTGCTCGTATGCAGTGAGTCAAGATGTGTCAATATCAACGACGACAGTCTTCACAGTCTTTGGAACAGTGATACGCAACTAACACCCGCCGGGTGTCTTTCATCACTGTGGGTAGGGAGGTTCCAAGACGGTTCAAACCATTCTAGAACCGCAAGGCACTGGATAGAGTACATGGTTGTTCATATTGCCATTATGGTATCGCAGGTTCTCATTTATTTGGATTAGACAGCCCCTTACCAAATTACTACCCGGAGCAACTCGGAAACCCCGTCAGTCATAGAAACGCTATGGTTACGAGGTTATGAAAGGGGACCCATATATACTCTTCTGTCCCGTCTCCCGACCTCTTGCCAGACGAATGACTGGACTTTCTCTCGGGTTGTAATTATCAGATACTACGAGCGGGCTCAAACTCGATACTGCTCATCATGCTCAGAGACTGAGTCACAATTGTTGCCGTCCAAACACCCTCACTCATCCAGCAGTGCTTCTCAACTATTCTGCGAATATGCTGGAGATGAACAACGCCAAAATCGGGAATACATGAAGCCTCTGGAGTAGACGCAACTACTTCGCGGCCGAAAGCCGCCGTCTTTAGTTCGAAAAGTCTTCCAGTACACAGCATTGTTGCGAATGTTTTTAACCCCAGTTTAGCAACGAACGAATTGTCGGTTTCGGTCGAAAAGTGCCGCGATAGTACACGCACATGACTGTCTTATAGAATGGGCGAGACAAGTCTTGCATAGGACAGATCGAGATGCTCCGACCGAGGTGGACATGCAAGATCTGCCTTGCTTCCAAGCGGGCTGGATTTGCCTCCGACTGCAGTGCATTTACATCATATAAAGAAGGCATCACTTGTTCCTCGAGAGAACAGGTAAATGATTTCCTTCCAAGCTCCATCATACCGCGAAAAAAAGAATCAATAGTTCGCGCGCGTGCGTCATCTCCCGAATCATTCTCACCACCTGAGATGAAACCAACTTTGGTCCAGACTCCCATGTGTCGCATGACACCTCTATCATTCATCAACCTCACGGGTGTATTTCGCAATTATTCATGGGGTCTCTCAGGGACATAGTCTTACTCATAGCTGCAGTCTTTCCCTCAAGGTCAAACCGTCATTGGCTTATTGGAGTGCTGTCGGAAGAGGCACTTATCATTGTGTGATGTCAATGTGGATATAGACAGGCTCTAGACGAGATAGATTCGATACGTTGTGAATTAACAACATAGACATTCCTGTTTTATAGCGCCCACAGGAGATGCCAATCGCCTCTTACTGTTGAAGTACGTCTACTCCTAAACACTACCTGTGAGATCCTACGCTAAACAAAATAGTATATATGTATCAAGGACAAAGCTCGTCAGACAAAGCCGCAGGGCAAATGGCACCTAGAACCACCAGCATTTCCATGTTTGAGCTTAGCGAAGCGACTTAATTGTTCAACCAAAGACCCGACTCCCAGCCGATTTTATGTATCCGTCAAATACAGCTACGCATCTAGCGTGTATTCTCATAGAAAAAATGGACGAATGAAAAAGATGTCAACCCACGAACGAACCACAGTAATAATGTGCATAAAGAGACTAGGCAGCTTCGAGACAAAGCTCATTAAACAAAGCCACAGGGCAAATGGGATCCAGAACCTCACGATCCACTGCAGGACTTCACATATCATTGAATGAAGGTATATAAGTAAACATTCTCTACTGACCGCTCTATCTCATTAACACCTCTAAGACTACGATGAAGACATCCGCAGACAGAGGGATCAAACCTAAGCCTTAGGGTACCAGTGTGATAAACAGACGACGCACCTCATGCTGCACCCTCAGTTCCACCTTCAGCCATAGTCAGGGAAAGGGAGACGGTGGTAGCCTTTTCACGCTAGGCTGCCTGATCTTTACAGCCTGGCTTATACCGCACTCAGCCGTCGCGGGCACGGCGGTATGGACCCTGTTCCGGAGGCCGAGAAGCCTGAGTTGCTTGACTGGTGCCGAGCCGGCTGTAAGGACGCAATGGCATTACATTAAAGACCGCTACGAGAACTAGACCGAGAACTTGTCCCCATTAGAAGGTTTCACGGAGTAGGAGAGTCCGCGCGGGGCACGCAGAGATGATAAGCGTGTTCTCAATCCTTGCAATGAACCAAGGAATATTCCATCAGTCTACAACATTATGCGCGGCATGATCGTGTCAACTTGGCTCAACAAGCGTAGGAAGTTTCCCATAGAAATGTTTTGGTTTTGAATGGATACAGAGTATGTACAAGAATGGCACGAAGAAACAAGGAATACAAAACACCAGAAACCCAATGCAAGAGATACGACGTGTGTCACCCTTTTGTCTCGTTCCGTTCCCGTGTTTTACACATTGCTCTTCTCAAAAGATAGAAAAGAATTTGAATGCTACCCGGCCGTGGTGTGAATGGTATGCCCGTTGAAAAAAAATGAATTTCTCCCCATCTCCCCAAAAAGCCCAGTTTGGTCCCTAAAGTACAGAGTTTGTCGAAGCGAAAGTTG